ACTCCTTGTAGTCTCTAGAATCTTCTTTGTAATTATTTATACCGGATTGATAATGAATGAAATTATTCGAGCTAAATTATCATTTCCTTTCTTGCATTTCAACTTGTTTGGACCTAGTCTTGTAAAACTTTTGCAAGTCATCTTTATTGTCTAAGGACTCTACTCTTTTTTGATGTCAACGTTAATATAGAACTTGTTTCTCCATTTTCTACTGAGGTTGTCTTTTATGCTGGACTTGCAATATTTCTGCTAGTAACCGACCTTGTTCAGAAGCCATTTCTGCAGTTTAGCCTCAAGAGGTGGAGTCTTATTACCGGCCTGAGACGATACTTGACATCTGCTTTCTTTACTATGTGGGCTTTAAGATTTTGCCCCCATCCTTGCGGTTTATGTCACCTGGCCAGTGCTGGGCTTACCTGCATTGGTTTCAGTATTTCCCTTCGTAGTTGGCTGTTTGGCTCAATATTTATTTGAGAGACGTCTTGATAGTAATGAATCATCCTGCTGGCCTCTAGTGTCCATTATCTTTGAGGCAAGAAAGTTCAACGACTAATTTCATTCTCTCATTGTAATGAGAAACATAGTGTTAAACGGATTTATATTTTCTTTGCAGGTTTATAGGATATATCAGTTGACAAGGGCTACCAGTTCCATCGAGAAGTTAATGTTCGCAATGAGGGGTGCCTCTGTATCCCCTGCAGTTTTGGATAGATCTGGAGCATTGGTTTCCATGATTGTAACTTTCCGTTTCATAGGTTTGGTTTGTCTTTGGTCCTTGCTAAACACTTCTTAGGCTCTTTCCATCTAGACCAGTTGCAGAGAACTACTGATTTGTATATAGGATGATAAACCTGCATGATTTTGGCCAATATCATTACAGTTTGATGTTCTTAAATCATTTCAGGTCATTATCAGCAATCCTTGTTTTACTTTTCTGCCATATGCCATTAGGGCAACCTTTTCAAATTGGCGATGAATGAGAAGAACATAGGTTTATTTCCAAGAGAAAATTCTCTAATTCGATAATATTTACAAATAACCAACAAGAAATGTTGCAACTGGATTCGTGGACTGATAAATTATTCATACAATTAGAAAACAGATTTAGAATACAAGTGTATAGTATAGCAGTGAGAAAGAATAGGATTGTAATACATGTAACTTATGAAGGCTGCTGCTCCACAAATTCTGAGTCAATCCATCTTGTTAGCTTCAATGAAAAACTTCGAATGGTGCAAATTTAGGCTGCAGATCAAGTTGGAAAACATCACAAAACTCCCTAATCAATGATTTATATGCGATATCAATCAACTTGCAGTCATCGGTGTGATCATTATTTGTTGCTCTATGTCCGTTAGACGACAAATTTACTCTTACCAACCCCTTTATACTTCCAACTTTACGATCCCTAATCCCACATGGAACTATCTGATGAAAGGGTGCAATATCTGTGGTGACATTCAGTGCCAATCCATGAAATGTTATCCATTGTGAAACTTTTATTCCAATGGCTGCTAATTTCTGGTCTCCTGGAGGTGTGTCAGTATTGCATATTAGTTCAAATTAAAATACCAAAGACAGGAAGAAATTAACACATCTTGAAAAGCCACATAACCCAAGATATTAATGATAAACAAACAAGAAGAATAAGCAAATAAGCAAAGTTCAAATACTCAATCCCTCAGTTTTGAAGAACACTAGGCAACAACAGACAATGAAAGACGAATTACAAGACATACCAACCCAAACACCAGTTAAGCCATCAACTCGTGATGCATCAATAGCAAATGTTGCAGAAAGAACACGAATGACAACCTCTTCAAGTGCTCTGAGGTACCAATGAAGATCCATCTTGTGATATCGAAGATTGATAATGGGGTACATAACTAGCTACACCACAACATACATAAGTAAGAATTCTTGAACAAAAATCATCAGCAAGTTCTCAAAACTACATACTGCCTCAAACTAAGCCTTTTTTCCAATAAATTGGGATTGACTACACAGATTTTTTTTATCTGCCTCTTCTCAACATACCACAAATTCACCTGGTAAACTTAAAAGTTTCAAAGAATGTCTAAATTTTCTTAACATGTAAAATCCTCACATGAAGACTAATACTGCATATGATTTCCTCGAGCAATACAGAAGCCAAAACTACGTAAATTCGCATCAACAGAAAATATACCTGACCAGGCCCATGGTATGTAACTTCGCCACCGCGTTCAGTTCGATACAAATCAAAAGGACCGTTCTTTACATCAAAATTCAAGTATTCTTCTGAACTACCAGTGCCCAATGTGTAAACTGGCTGGTGTTGCAAAATAATCAGCGTATCAGAAAAATCTTCCTGCTTTTCAATCAATGATTTTCTCTCTTTAACAATGGCCTTTTGCCATGTCCACGCCTCTACATACGGAATCAGCTCTTTATGCAAATCATAGTAATCACACCTGAAATTAGGATTACTTTTGAAAAATATTCTACTATTTTTGTCAAAAAATAAATAAAATTGTTAGGATAATGAAATTACCTTCTTCTTGGTTTAAGGGTGTTGGAGACAATTGAACTGATGACATATGAATGAATTTTGTGCGGGGTTTTTGATGGACTACGAGTTAAAGAGGGCGGGTTTAAGCTAAAATTGGGATTTACAAATATAATCATATTTCAAGATTATATCTTTATTTTATAGCATGTAAGGAGATGAAAGGGCTTTTTAACTGAAGTGTGTGGTTTCGAGTATTGAATTTTTCTTTAAAAAATCAAAAACCTAAAGAAATTAGTGTTAGAAAACCATTTCGAAGGTGCATTAATGGAGTGCTGGCGCTAGGTTAGTTGAGGCGGCATTGAAAATACTTTCATCTTACGATTTGGGCGCAGCGGAGCAACCAATGTGTTGGCCGGTTAGGGCGCCACTGCGTGCGTGAGTGAAATTGGGGTCAATGGTCCCAAACGTTTGCTCATTGGTCCAAATCTTTCAAATTTGATACAGATGGTCCTAAAGGTTTGCATTCTTTGTATAATTAGACCTTTTGGATGTATAGGACTTGGAATGCACTTTCTTTCAACTTTCAAGGGCAAATTACATATTTAGCCCAACTTTTGACAACAATTAATGATTTGTTCCTAATCATTTTTTTAATTTCTTATTTTTGTCTCCAACCTTTAACCTTCAAGAGAAAAGTGCCCTATTATTAAGTATATTTTTAAGGTTTTGGTCCTTTTCGTCCTAACTTCTCAAAATGTTACTAATTCACTTTTTACTACATTTTTTTGCACCAGACATCATCAACCTTTGGATATATAGAAAAACTCATCATTCCACCATTATATGTTTTCTTCTACATCCACCCTTGATCGCCCTCTAGATCTTTCCACCACTTCACCTCCATGACCCCGACTCAAGGTTCACTATCTGGCCATGGCGAGGAATCCTATTCCACCATGTTTCCTATTTCATGATTCCGATCGGAGTTCTGATACCATCAAGAGTTCAATCCTATCTGTCTACTTGTTATTTTTTAATTGGTAGTATCAAATACTAATATATTTGTTTTAATATTAGTTTAAACAAATAAATTAATACAAGTTCAACCAAAAAACTTAAGCCCCTATTTTATTAGTTAGATAAGGAAAGCATTATCATAAATAAATAATTATTTTCCTAAAGAGGCAATAAAAGCCAACGGACAAATCTTTTGAAATATATTTTGTTCTAATAAATAACATTTAAACCCCTGTTTGGTTTTGATTAAAATGAAATTTTCATTAGATTTATTATAAAAGTTTATTAAATAAATGATTAAAAGGTTAAAAATTGTAGATTTGTGTGATTAGAAATGATTTTGGAAATAATGAATTGTAAAAATTTAATAAGCGGCCAAGAATTTAAGCGGAATCAAAGATTTGTCACTGTTCATTTTTTTTTTTTTTCCAGCTTAGAATTGATGGAAATTCTATATTGCCTTCAAGAAAGAAGCAAAAAGGGATAATTTCAGTCAAATGCCACGAATCTAAAACACATAATTCAGTATACCACAAACAAGGCCAGGCCTGATTGAAATCTTGAACCACAAACAATGGCATCCACTAGATTTCCAACAATGGCTCATCTCCTTTGGCGAATTCTACGCGTTCATCAATGGTGTCAAGGTCTATGGCACAAATGTGCTTAAGCAAAGCAGGATTGAGTTTGAAATGTTGGGAAAATACTTTACCGTCATAATGATAGTTCATGTTTGATAATCAAGAATATGTAAATCAAAGTGAAAACGTACCTGAATCAAACATGATTAATGTAATGAACAAGTCATGTGGTTTTAGTCTTCCAGATCAATACGTTGTTCATTTATTTCTCTATAAAGATGAGAGTCAGAATAGAATGAACCAAAACATATGATCTGGGGACCATAACCGTATATATATACTATCGGCCCGTTAATCTAATTCAGCCCATCATGAAATTAGGAGCAGGCATGGTCCGTATACATAAATATGTTTTGCATTCACTCTACCATCCAATCGAACAAAGTTTACCCCAAGAGCTAGAGTCTATCTTTGTAGGGTACCCTCCAGGAATAAAGGGATATAAACAGTATAATATCCTATCCAAAACCTTCTTTATCTCGAAGAACGTTGTTTTCCACAAACATATATTTCCATTCCAATCTATTGCCCATCATTCTAATATAATTGATCATTTTTCTGATCTTGCGTTACCTATTTCTACTTCTGAAGCACCTTATTCCAATTCTCATATACCTGTCTCCACTTCACAATTCAGAATCCTTGATGTGCACATTGAAGCTGCAAGTGATATAGAGACCGTTGGTTCTAAAATTCAGGGGATGAATATGGTTTGTAAACTTCACAAGTCAATTTATGATCTTAAACAAGAATCAATGTAATTGTTTTCAAAATTCTCCAATGTTGTTATTGATCACGGTTTTAAGCAGTCAAAATCATATTATTTATTGTTTACCTAAGGTTATGGTAGCACATTTATTGTTTTCTTAGTCTATATAAACGACATCTTCCACTGGATTTAATTAGCATGAAATTAACTCACTAAAAGGTGTCATGCACAGTTAGTTTAAGCTGAAAGATCTTGGCAGGTTACAGTGTTTTCTTGGGTTGGAAATAACAAGGCCATAAAAGGGGATCTTCATGTCACAATGACAATATACTCTGCAATTACTTGAGGACACTGGATTCCTGGCATGTAAACTTGTCGCACTGCCTATGGATCCTAAACTGAAGCCCAGTTCATTTGAAGAAGAACTCACTTGCTGATGCATCCATGTACAAGAGATTGATTGGTCGCCCCCTTTACCTAACTATCTCCAGACCTGATATCACATTTGTTGTTCACAACTTAAGTCAATTTGTGTAACAACCTAAGCAACCACATTTTGATGCAGTTTATCATCTTTTACAATATATCAAGGCAAATCCAGGGCAAAGAATTATATTTTCTATACAATCTTCATTTCAGTTGAAAGCAATTGCAGATGCAGATTGAATATCTTGTCTAAATACAAGGAAATCAGTCATCGATTTTTGTGCTTTCTTGGAGACTCTAATTTCTTGGAAAGTCAAAAAGCAAACTACAATATTTAGATATTCAGCCGAAGCTGAATATCGTGTAATAGCTTCCACTACTAGTGAACTAGTTTGGCTCACTCAATTACTTCATGATTTTCAGATTTCCAACAAAGATCCTGCATTAATATTTTGTGACAATCAAACAGCAATTCACATTGCTTCAAATCCTATCTTTCTTAAATGTACTATGCACATAGATATTAATTGTCATTTTGTTCGATATAAGGTAACTGATGGTTCAGTCAAGTTGTTAAAACATGGAACCTGAGTTTAAAAAAAAAAATTAAATATAATCAGTTAACTAATTAATAAACGTGTCTTTGAACAAATAAAAACTAACTAATAAACTGAAAGATAAAACAACTTAATGTTTTTATTTTTCCAAATCGTCTTAACAGTCTAAATCATCATCTCGCTATAGTTCCAATCGACCCGAACTAATTTGTAAAATTTTTGAAAGATTGAGTATTTTGAAATTTTTAGTAAGATACATGTAATTTCTATATACAATTATAACAATAAAATAGACAATTCATACCACTCTTCTCTTATGAAGTATATTGGTGGCTAAACGACACACCAATATTAGGTCATCTTAAATTTCCAAAAGAGTAAATATCACTTTATAAAGAATCCGAAAGTTCACTGACAATTCATGCATATTTACTGAATATAAAATATAAGCAAACGAACCACTTACACAAAAGTATTTTACTTCGTTTATTGAAATGTTGTAAAATAATGCATGTGAAACCCCTTTTCCTTTGTTTCTTTCTCCTTGTCTTGACTCCCTCTATTCGTGTCTATGTATAAATATTCTGTGGTGAAAAATTCTCTGGACTTTATGAGGTATATATAAGACAAAGAAAAAGGTAACAATTGAATTGGGATGCGAAAGGATTTGAGGAGTTGTGTCCAACAAGTAGGATAAGAATTGACTTCATAAAATTTTATCTCGTCTTGTAGAGTCTTTAGTATGTGAAAAATAATTTTTTAAAAATAAACAAATACTTAGAACATGCAGTAACTGGGAGATGGAAAAATGCCTAATAATTTTATATGATAAATCCTAGATTAGCTTAATTAGAACTTTGCTTAATTAGAAGTATCATAATCTCAATATTCAAACATATCTACTCATACAAATATGACCAAGATTAAAAGAAATACTTAATAAAAGCGAAGACGAAAATTTTAATTCAATTTGGATAACAATAAGTGGAGTTTGAAATATATCAAAATAGAATTATAATTATAATCAAAATAGGATTAACAATTAACCATTATCATAATTAAAGTAGGATTTTCATATATCCAACACATCAAATCCTAAACCAACAGTTTTTTTTTCTTTTTTTACCTTATATCTATATAAAGGTAAGCGTGGCTGTCAACCCTTTAACAATCAAATTAATTAAATTCTAATAAATAACAATTTTTTTTAAACTTCAATATCCTGGGTTTAACTTATCCGAATTAACTTTTTTTCGAGTACATAATGCCTCATTTAATAAGAATTATCCAATGAGCCAAATATTGATATACTAATTCAAGCTCTATCAATAATTAACTATTTGACTCAAGAAAGTAAAAAATTAATACATATTTCACCTTAGTCCCTTAATTTTCCAAAATAATAAAAATGCATCTTGATCAAAATCGTTATCACCAAAATAATTCGATTCCATGAAATTTCGGCTTCTCTATTGTTTCCATTATCTAAGATGGGTGTTATCAATCCTCACACTCCATCTCGAGGGGAGTAACGGAAAGAAGGCAGCTACTCTACACCTCATCAAGGAAGGCAGCTTGCCATTGAATACACGCAAGCAATGCCACTTGAGCCGGCTATAAGTTAGGCAGTTAGATTAGTTGATCAAGTCCACGTGTCCTTCTTGTATTGATTTGTACAACTGAGTTAGTTAGAGTTAGTTTGTTGATTTCATTTTCTATTTATATACAACACTTTGTAATGTACCTTGATTTTCTCGTCGAGGCAATACAATTGAATTCATTTTCTTGCTTCAATTCTTCAATAGAATAGGTGTCGTTCGATTTCGATAGCTCCAATCTCTGTCCCCAACCTGTTCTCGAGTTCTTTCACCAACATACCTCTAATGAGATCCCTTGCCTGAAAACTAACAATAGCGTTGTCGAGAAACTTCAAACTCTGCAACAACACATTGGCTAATGTCTCTTCGTTTGAGTTGCTGTCAAAGCTCCAAATCTCAATCGAAATGGAGAACCAACGCCCGGAATCTGAATCAAAGGGCAGATGAATGAGAGCGCTGCTATTGTCGAAGTATACTGAAGAAATTGTTTCAGGGGCATCTGTAGTTTCAGATTTTGGTAGTTTTGCTGAGAGTTTTTCTACGACGGGAAAGGAGTATAGAGATGACGATGATGGAGAATTGGAAGAATTAATGGCAAAGCCGCAAAAGAATTGGATTTGTTTTGTGATGGAGGTGGAGAGTGGGGAAGAAATACTGTGTTTGTGAGGCTATCTTCAGCGCTGCACCAAAATTTGCACCATTTTGCTCCAAATCTTGTATCAAACTAAAATTCATCTCCAACCATTACACCAAAATTTACACCAAATGAAAAGTGTTTAATCATTTTCTTATTTTTTTATTCTTACTAATTTATTTATTCGAAATATTATTTATTTATTTATTTTAGAAATACATAAATTACTAAATAAATAATTATGTTAAATTAAGGAAAATATTAAATTTATTAATAAATATATTATTAAAAAATAGTACAATTAGTAGAATCACTTCAAAAATGAAAAATATTAAATCGTGTTTGTTATATTTTAAATTTTTTCATTCTTATTTTAATTAATTCAGTAATTATTATTTTTAACATTTAAAATTTATTTTAAATGCAAATAATAATAATAATTATATTAAAAATTATATAACACAAATGACACAAATACCCTTCAACAATTCTTTTAACAAATGAAAAAATGGGGCAAATTGGACTTTGCACCATTTTTAAAAAATTGTGCAAAATTTGATGCCACATTGAAGCACTTTTGTTCCAAATTTTGGTGAAATTTGGTGTTGTCATTGGAGAGGGCCTGAGAGAGATTTTCGACGGGTTTTTTATGTAGTAAACTATATTTAAGTCACGAATCATTTACTGTTTTTTTAAAAATAATTTGAAATAATGATAGTCCAACATTTCACTTAATTTTGTAATACCTTGTATTATAGACTTTATTATCTATGAAAAAAATATTTTTAATTATGATGAATTGAATATTTAATACACACAACTATTGATGGATAACTAGTAAATATTTTGTACATAACAAAAAGGGAAATAAAATATAACTTTTTATACAAAATTATATAATCAAAATGTAATCATAATCACTAATAAATCAGTTCATAAAATCAATAGTTTAAAGATATAAAAATAATTAGTAACGAATAATTGAAATTTTTAATTTTATCTCAAAGAGAAAATTTCATATTTTGGACACGTATTTTTAGTTGATTGTCTTTTCTTCATTTATGTGAAAATTACATTTTCCGAACAAGACAAAATGCAAAAATACTTTTTTTTCTAAAAAAAAAATCTCCCATCAATTCAAAAAATATCTTCAGGAAAAGAGAAGAAAAAAGAAAGAAAGAAAGAAAGAAATCCTATATCTTTGATCCACCCTCTTCAATTTCTGTCATCCACTCTTGTTGAATAAAAATGCAATCTGCAACTCTACCTCTGTACACACCTTCAATCATTACAAGTAATCCTAAAAAGAAAAATTCAAAGATTGCATGGAAATTTTCTGAAAGGACTAATTTTCAAACATGTAGAGCTTCTGCCTCTTCAAATTCTCCTATTACTGAATTCAACCTCTATGAACTTCTTGGAATTGACAGTTCTTCCGATCAAACCCAGATAAAATTAGCATATAGGAATCTGCAGAAGCGGTGCCACCCCGATATAGCAGGGCCGGCGGGCCACGACATGGCTATTATACTGAATGAAACTTATGCTCTTCTCTCTGACCCCAATTCTCGTATGGCATATGATAAGGTTAGTGTTTGTATCTTTGCTTTTAAGTATTCACTGGAATTTGGGAATTTGGGCATGTATCGCTATTCTCCGAAATCTGGTTTAATTAGCTGTGACAGATAAAGGATCAACGCTCAATTATCGATCAATTATGTGAATACTGAATAGCATAAGTGTGGATTTTGTAATCGATGCACATATGCTTAAGCACACATATATGGCAGATTCGGACCATTCAATTGGATTCATTCATCCACCAGACTCGAACCTATATGTTTTGTGAAATTTGATACTATGTTGAATTACTTTGGCTTAGCACTTTAACAATTAGAGGGACATTTTATTTATTTAAATTTAGTCATTAACTGGTTATTGTGGTGGCAAGTTGCAGAGAATTCAATTTTCAGGAATGAATTCTGATAGGTTTAGTACACTAATCAACATTTTCGTAGATTAGTGCTTCGTGGTGATGAAATTGTTGTCGAAGGGAAACTGTGTGTTACTGTGTTTGTAGGCTGTAGTTTTGCATATTTGCATGAAATGATCTGATATTGGTTTATATTTGAGGCAGTTTGTAAGTTTGTCAACTATTAGTACTGATAACAGATTTAGCTAAGGGATGGAGTCATGTTTAGAGGAAGAGTAAAGATTCTTCACGTGCTTTTAGGTGTTCTGTAGACGTCCCATTTAATTTTTGAAGAAATTTTTGGGTATCAAACTTTCGAGAGACATTTATAATTGTGTTTTGCTGTACACGTCCCACTTGAGTTCGTAATCACTTACTCTTTAATGTACGAGTACATTTTCAAACTATTGTTTTAAAACAAGTCAATCAACTTGATAGAACAAATTGCATAGCATCCGTTGCGTAGACATTGTCTGTTCTAAATGAGAAGCACTTACTTCTTCTTGTTCAATTATATCTGATAAATGATGCAGGAGCAAGCAAAAGTTGCAGATTTACAAGGCTACACAGGCAATCCTATATATTCTGTGTGGTTTGGTTCAGAAAGTGAAAAGAGGGCTGTTTTTGTTGATGAAGTTAAGTGTATTGGTTGCTTAAAATGTGCCTTATGCGCTGAGAAAACATTTGCTGTTGAATCAGTATATGGTAGAGCCAGGGTTGTTTCTCAATGGGCTGATCCCGAATACAAAATTCAAGAGGCTATTGACGTATGTCCAGTCAATTGCATCTCGTAAGACTATTATCGTTACACCTTACGTTTATTTTGAACTTAATAATGCTGATCCAACTTTTCTCAGCCTTTCCCCATTTTATCCTCTGATTTTTGTGAAGAAAAAGTGTTATCTTGAAAAAAATACAATCTTTTATCTTATTTACTGTAATTACTTTTCTTTCATAAATCATCTTACAACATGATATGCGGAAAGCCTCAACTAAACATTATACTTGTGTGCATTACCAAAATTCTGGATGCAAACGATTTAACTTTTTTCTCTCTTCTGTTTTTCCTTTTCCTTTTTGAATTAAACAATAGGATTGTGGAGAGGTCCATGTTGGCGGCCCTTGAATTTTTAATGTCTAAACAGCCACGTGGCAAGGTCAGAATTGGCACAGGCAATACAGTGGGTGTACGTAGCTCGGATATTTTTGATGAGGTGGAGAAGTTCCTGACCAGATATGCCAGGCACAGATCTTCCACAAATTATTCTGAGGTGATTCTTGTTTTTGTAACTTGCATATTATTTTTCTTCAATACATATATGTTTCACATTTAAACTGGCAATGAGTGTGGCAAAAGAAGCACACACTTTTCATTTTACTTCCTTAATTATCATAGTAAACATTTAATTGAGCATGAAATGTCCGTTGAAGGAATCAGAGGCTCATACAGCAGCAAGAGTCTCAGCTGTTCAAGCGATTCAAATGATATCAAACTGGTTGTACTGGCAATCTCCTGGAATGGGAACCGAACATACAGATGACCACTTTTTGGTACCACTTACACAAAAACATGCAGATCCTAGTCTTAAGAGGCTGAGAGATGCTGCTGCAGCTAGACGCCAAGCAAGAAATTTTACGAAACCAACCAAAGGAGTATTCGCAAGCAACACATCCTATGACGAGTATTGGATTCCATCAAAGCTCGTTCTACCAGAGGTAACTAATCTAGATTCTGACTCTAGAATCGCCACCTCTTACTCTTTTCCAACTACAGAAACGAAGGAACCAAGTGCTAGTAAATTCCCTAGCCCGAAGGAGGATCCAGACACCCCTTTACTTAATGGATTGCCGGTGGGGACAGCTTTAATGGCTGCATTCTTTGTTCGGTTACGGATGGGAGAACAAGTAGGCAATATAAAAGAGCATATTGGTGGTTCTCTTGTTCTGGATGTTGTTAATAGCTCATGGCTACAGGTGCTTTTAGCAGGTGTTACTTGGTATCTTATTGGAATGGCTTTAATGGAATTAGTCGAAGCCATTCGACGTAAATAGGTGAAATATTGTAGCTAATTGATAATTGTATGTATATAACATATTTATAAAACACAAGATTTGACAATGGTCTACATGTAATATTTATAAATTGCAAACAAAATGTTAAAGTAAATTAAAGTATTTAGCTGCTCCCTTTCGACTTTTTTCCACTCCTCTTACTATCTCCATTATCTTCACCCCTCTTATTATCTCTCTCATACTGAATTGCTCGACATTCAACGGAGCAAAATGGCTTGTCACTGCATAAAAATAATGTTGTTTAAGGTTAGATGGTTCGGTGCAATCATATGGTTACAAGTAATAAATACTATAAAAGAGGAATTATCATCCAAAAGGTGAAATTATTTTGCTTAAATTAAGGTTTCAAATTCATAAACTAATAATATAGTTTACATATATAATCCAACTTTATGGACTCTTGCACCATATTTTAATTACATTTAAAGTTCTTAATCTTTGTTCATTATAACAAATATGTCGTTAACGATTTTTCATGTCATTCTTATTCTCAAACTTTTTATTAGTTAACACATTTTGTATTTGGTAACAATTTTATGTCCAAAAGTATGTTGAAATTGTGTAAAAAAACTTTTTTGTTTTACCATATTTTTTAAAAAATAAATAAATAAAAAGTGTGAAAAAATATTTTCATTCATTTCAAAATTTGAAAACAAAATATTTGAATATAAATCATTATCAAGAATGAGACAAACTAATTAATGAAATGTTGGAGATAGGAATTCAAGGGAAAAAATTAAGAAAATAATTGCTACAATGAACAAAGATTGAGGAGTTTAATTGCAATTAAAATGAACTGAAAAAAGAAAAGTGAAAACAATAAAATATATTGTTAAATAATATTGAAAAACACGAAAACTTAATAAAGAAGAATCAGAAAAGAATTCAACGAGTCACATGAATAAGTTGTCTATGTAAATAAGTTATTTTCAACTTCTTGTGTAATTCACAAGAAATTGAATACAAAATTACTTACTTATACATGTAAATATCTCGATCAAGACGAATAAGGCGCCTACAAATCGGACAATGTTTAATAAAATCATGGTTGATTTTGGTTTTACCCATTTTGTACCCATATTGAACATGTTTGCTTGATTTCTCAGCCATTGTTTCTACAAGGAAAACAATAGATATTAAGAATGTTGAATGGTGAATTTTGTTGGGGCAATTAGATAAAAATATATTTATAGTTGCTTTTGAGAAGTTGGAAATCTTTTTCTTAAATTCTGAAAATATATTCTTATAAATAATCATTACAAAATGTACATTAACTTAACCAATATGAATCTTAATTATTATGATTAATTACATATTCGCGGGACAAAATATTATATACGTGAAGTTTTTGAACTGATATAATCATTATTTCTTAAAGATCACAATAAAAATACATGATCGAATTCTGCACGATGGGACCGTCAGAGATGAACATAAATACAAACGTGTTTATTGAATTAATAAAATCTCTTTCTGAATTAACAAGAAAATACTTTAGCACAATGATTCATTTTCTTCGTAGATCTTCCTAATATATTTTTTTTAACATTGTACATGGAGAATTTCAATTATGATTGCTTTGGAATTGTTATTCATACAATGTTGTTAATATTGGTCTCGTAGTTATTCATATTATTTAATTAATATTTGTGTCAAAATTATATCCTTGGTGTGCCTTTGTACCCTGGTAGCCCACATCGCTATATGATACTTTTTATCCTATACTAATTTTTGTGTAGACAATATCTGAATTATTTTTATTGATAAATAAATAAATTAAATTTTGATTTTATTTTATTTTTGTATCCACGCCACATTAAATTAACTCATCCAATTAGGTGGGTTTAAATTGAATTATTTGTTATGTAATTAATACATGTAATAATATAATAGGAAAAGTTTTGAATTTATGTGTAAAATTATTTTATGTGAGAATGTGTGGTTGAAAATAAGTTTTGAAAAAAAATTAGTTTTTAAGAAAATGGAGGCCAAACATAGGAGTGTGTTTGTTTTCCATTTTTTTCAAAATATATTTTTTTCTTTATTATTTTTAACCACACATTTTTCAATAAAATAATATTACACGCAAATTTAAAACTTTTCCTTATTTTTTAATCACACATTTTACATCAAATCACTATTTCAAAATGCATTTTTGGCTAAGAATATGGCTCAAACAAACTCTAAATAATATGATAAGGTGAGTTGTATAAAATAATTACAAATACTTTTTATTTAATAAGTTAAAAGATGATAGAAATAAAATATTCACTTATAAGTAAAAGTTTACTTGTGATAAGTTTTAAAAGTAAAAATTCTCCTACAAGTAAAATAATTCTCGTAAGTAAATTATTCGACATAATTTAAAAAATTACTTATAAGTAAAAAAAATATTTATAAACATTCACTTAATGAGTAAAAAAACTCACTTATATGGAAAAAAAATTACTCATGTTTTAAAATCCACATATAAGTAAAAAATGACATACAAGAAAAATTCACTTATCTATAATATATTAAATATTACATCAAGTGAAAATCATTTTTTGGACGATTGTAACCCTATTATAATTCAATCATTTCAATAATACCCTACTTCTCGTTTTTCAATATAATTTTAATTTATTTAACCGTTTAGTTACCATCAATGTACATGTACATACATTTGACAAATTCATTTCACATGTATACTTTCATTAATGTATGAATTTTTTATTATTAATTCTCAATTAATTAATATTAATATTCACACATTTAATTAATACTCATCTACATTTATGCATTTCAATATTATTAATTCTAATTAAAATTATAAGTTGATTAGAATTTGGCATTCAAGAATGTATTTCATTATTCACGTAATCACGTCCATGAATGCAACTCATCATCGTATTTTATGTATATATTACATGGTATTAATTAACATTAATACATATTCAAATATTACTTTTACAACGCTTATAAAATATTTCATAATAACTTGCAACGTACGTCGGGACTAGTAAGTTAAAATATCACAACCCCAATTTCATTTTTATTATTCAAGTACTTTATTAACCAAGGGCATAAATGACATAAAATATCTCAATTTTATAAAGTTATTTAATAAAGCTTGTATTCCCAAAAACGTAACAATAGTTTTAAGAAACACTTTGAAATCATTTCTTTGAAAGTTCTCGATATTCAAAAATATATACTTTTCACATAAGTAATATAGTTAATCCAACAAAACATTTTGACCAATTCAAGGACTAAAAAAATAAAATATTTGGTTGCGACAACAAAATATTATCAATCATGCTACATGAACATCGGAGTTGACATAAATCTTGACATAATGTCACTTGACATTCTATCATTGAATAGTTTAAAACATAGTCAATCTTTTCATCCAATCATCTACCGCCACATACAATTATGTAAAAAAATTTGTCAAATCTTTCTGAAGTAGCCAGATGAGTTATCTTTTCAACTCATTTTGAATCGCCTCAATCGGATATCAGAATACAAAGTTATAATAAAAATACTGAAAGAAGGTGCAGCTGCCTGTTTAAAACAAGAAATTTCGTTATATAGTCCGTTATATTGAGACCTATTTTTGGCATATAAAGTGATCGAATTAGAGAATGATGTCTGAACCAAAGTTGTAACCAAATGAGTTAGATTTCCAACGCATTTTGAATTGCCTCAATCAGATATCGGAATATAAAGTTATGATAAAAACATTGAAGGAAGGTGCGGCTGTCTGTTTAAAATAAGAAATTCTGTTACATAATCCGTTATATTGAGACATATTTTTGGCATAGAAAGTGATCGAATTAGAGAATGATGTCTAAACCAAAGTTGTAGCCAGATGAGCTATCTTTCCAACTCATTTTGAATCGCCTCAATCGGATATCATAATACAAAGTTATAATAAAAAAACTAAAAGAAGGTGCAGCTGCCTGTTTAAAATAAGAAATTTTGTTACATAGTCTGTTATATTGAGACATATTTTTAGCATAGAAAGTGATCGAATTGGAGAATGATGTCTAAATTAAAATTGTAACCAAATGAGTTANTTGTATCCAGATGAGTTAGCTTTCTAACGCATTTTTAATCGCCTCAATCGGACATCTGAATATAAAGTTATGATAAAAACACTGAAAGAAGGTGCAGCTGTCTGTTTAAAACAAAAAATTTCGTTACATAGTCCATTATATTGAGACATATTTTTGGCGTAGAAAGTGATCGAATTGGAGAATGTTATCTGAATCAAAGTTGTAGCTAGATGGGTTAGCTTTCTAACGCATTTTGAATCGGCTCAATCGAATAACGGAATACAAAGTTATGATAAAAATACTGAATGAAGGTGCAATTGCCTGTTTAAAACAAAAAATTCCGTTACATAATTCGTTAAAACAACAAATTCCGTTAGTTTTTCCGTTAAACCAACAAATTCCGTTAAATAGACACTTTTTATATATAGAAAGATATATTAAATATTACATCAAGTGAAAATTATTTTTTGGACGATTCTAATCCTATTATAATTCAATTATTTCAATAATACCCTACTTTTCGTTTTTCAATATAATTTTAATTTATTTAACCATTTAGTTACCATTAATGTACATGTACATACATTTGACAAATTCATTTTACATGTATACTTTCATTAATGTATGAATTCTCTATTATTAATTCTCAATTAATTAATATTCACATTCATTTAATTAATACTCATCTACATTTCTGCATTTCAATATTATTAATTCTAATTAAAATTATAAGTTGATTAGAATTTGGCATTCAAGAATGTATTTCATTATTCACGTCCATGAATGCAACTTATCATTCAATTCTACTTAATTGAAAATTAAGTAAATTATTTTACGTATATATTACCTGGTATTAATTAACATTAATACATATTCAAATATTACTTTTACAACGCTTATAAAATATTTCATAATAACTTGCAACGTATACGTCCAACG